AACTTTTATGTTTGTAGTGCCATAGTAACGAATGTAATGACCAAAATAAATAATGAAATGCCATTTACCTTATGACAAAAAAAGAATTGAGTTTTTCGTGAAAAACGTTATATTAACGATAGTTCACTGAAGTGTTTAGATCATGTCGGGGGGATCTTGAAGATATTTTAAAGAAACTAGGATGGAACGATGGTTTCCAAATACCTATCGCGAATGCTGAGAATAAGGCACTTGAAGAGGAACTTGCTAAACTCGCACTAAGAAAAACTAAATCGAAAAACATTTTAGATAGAAGTTCTGACAGGCTGCAGTCTCTTAAAGATCATTTTAAATATGTTACTCAAGAAAATGAACAAAATCAGGTAGGTGATTATTATTATAATATTGGATGGCCAGACATTTTTAAATCAAATAGAGTACATTTTTAAATACAGACATATTTTTATTATGTCTACAAGGACGTATTTGTACAAAAAATATAAACTATTGATATTTTTGCGATGTGTGGCTTTTCTTAATAAATTTACATCATCTTTGATAGTTAATCGAAATTCTGTCCACGTCATTTTTATATTAAATTCCACCTTCATTACCTACTTCAATGTAGATACTGCTAAATGACTTTTTTCCTCAGCCCAATAATTTTTAATTACACTGAAAAGTCTCTTACATGTACGTTGGAACCAGGTAGAAAAAAAAAGGACTGATTAAAAATTTTTACTATTTTTAAATCGTAATCAGTTTCAGCCATATCACTATAAACAGTTTTCCACCTACCCATCAAGTTTTCTTTCTTCTCTTCCCATTAATCTTTATTAATATGTTTTTCACTACATGTATCAAAAATGTCATTGTCATTTAGGTCTTCAAAAACCTAATTTTTTGCGTGGGTATGAAAATAAGTAAAAGAATGTTGAAATTTTCCATATCATCTTTGCTTTAAGAAGTAAATATTTAATCTTATTTGACTCTGCAAAAAATCGTGTTGCCCTTGTTTTGAGATAATCAACAACTTCGAAATAAAATCTTTTTTTATTAATTTATTTAATGTTGGCCTATTTTCGTTACCAATGCCAATCACCGAGTCCAGGAGATAAGCTCATCAGTACTTGTGTAGGCACTGGCCCCCCTAACCTCGAAATTTTGCCGAACTCCCACTTTGTCATCGAATAGGGATGTTTAACGTGCTCACATCGTAGATACATGAAACCCACAGTATGATATCCCTGTCGAAAGATGGTGATGCAAGCAGGTCGCACATCCACTATACCTCATCGACTTGATCCTGCTTGGCCGGGAGTCAAATCCCGGACGCCGAGGTAAAATGCAAGTCTTCTTGCCGTTCCACTATGAAGTTATACACGTACATAGACTTGTTTTTCATTTTTATGAATGACACTACCATAGTCACTAATAGGAAGGCGAAAAGTATTCTACATTGTTTGTTCAAACAACTCATAATCTAACTAATTTGTCTTATAACACATTTCTTTTGTTTTTAGAAACTTATTACGGCTCATAAACAGCAATTTGAAAATGTCGAGCATCAGTTCCACATCAGCAAAGCCGAAAAGGAGAGTGTCGAACACGATATTAAACAAACCACAAAAGAGCTCAAAGATTTAGAAGAAAGACAACTGATTAAAAAAAATGATCTACAGAAAGGCATAACAAGGGCTGAAACTTTAAAAACGGAAGCAGATTGGGACCTTGAGGCTCTGAAAGCTTGGGAAGAGTCACTGAAGAAAAGAGGCGACGATAATGAACTCATTAAGAAGTTTTCCATAGAAGATGAGAGAAAATATAACGAGTTGGAGGCTAAAAGGCAACTTTTGCAAGTTGAATGTGAAAAGCAACGAGGTTTTCTGACCAAAATGGTTTCTGAATCCAATAATTATGAAATGATTGTTGAGCGCACAGGTAACATCTTTCTCTTTGTAACTGGAGTTTACTTCTTCCCTTTGATTGTAAAACTGCATAACTTGTTGCTTGATTCCCTGTACAGTCAATAAATAACTCATTCCTTCACAGAGAAGAATGTTTATTACTGGTAAATATATATTTATGTCTCCTTAATAAAAAATTTAGCTAAATGTGGGACAAGAACCCAATCTATTAGTGGTTAATAAAAAAAAGTTTCTGATAATGTATATTTGGGACAAATATACAAAGCGTGATCAAAATTAGATATTACTGGCAAATAAACTGTTTAATCAACAAAATATTAACGAATAATGAATTAAGCATTGTCTCTAATATTCAAGTTGTTAGTGATATAATTGTATATATTTGTGTTTACTACATTTTTTAGTTCTGTTAAATAAGTAAACCAATAACACTAAAAACAATGTGTTTTCTTAACTAATATTATTGGATAGCAACCATTAATGCCTGACTTATTAGCAGCAATTATATAGAAATATTAGCACTACTTTTTAATATCTACTATTTATTATATTCATTAGTTATGACATGTAGATTTATTATTTATTATAAACATATTGTTTATTTAGAAGAAAAATACTATTTCTTTCAAACATTTTTTTTAGTAAAACAGTATATATTTGTAGCAAATAAAAACAGCATTTAATAAAAAATATTTACTTTTAAAAATAAAAATCATTCTATACATTAGAAAAACAAATAAATTTTAAAATCCAAAAATACTCTAAAGTAGTAAAAATTCTCTTTAAAACTATAAATTCATACACCACTATAACTTATAGTCTCGATACATCAGAGTGCGATTCTGTGTACTTAACAGTATTAATATATATTTTTAATAATAACTAATAACAATATATAATGCCATAATAATCAATTCAGGATCGCACTGAATTGCCGTAACATCACGTAGTATACGAGACGCAATTTTAGGTCAGCCGGCGTGCGTTCATGTAAACACCATTTTTGTAATTTGTATACTTTAAAAATTAATAATACGATACTATTTCAATAGAAATTATTTAATGACATCTAATCTAAATTCCAAACAGGCATACACTGTATTTATAATTTAATCGCGCACCGCACAAGACTACAACCATGACTATGTTTTTTATTCTGACTACGCCCCACAACACAGCACTGCACTGAACATCAGAGTGAAATGGGGTGTCGATGACCGACGCGCCCTTCCCACCAAGTACTAAATAGCGGGAAACACAATATCAATGAGTTTTAAATTCTAATAAACTAGTAATTTGCGCTTAGATACTGACTATTTGCTTTAGAAATCAATATATTAATCCCATAACCTATTAGTAATTAATAAAATTGAATAAATAGAAATGCATATTTGTCATTAATAATCATATCTTAACCATTAATACATCTTTTTTAATCATAAATCATAATATCACTGTTATTTATACTAGAAATGAAAGTTTTTATTTGGCATTATTAATGGACTTTTTTATTACTCAAAAAAAAAATATTTTCTACTAATAAAAAAGTGTCAAATTAAAAGAGTTTATTTGCGCCATTTTTCTCTGTGTTTATAACAAGAAAACTGATAATGAAAATAAAGAACCTACAAATAATGGGAAGAATGACCACAAAAAAAGCACCATCACAACAGGCTGAGCTTGGTTATAAGCATAAAAAATGAGTGCGAAGTATTACGCGTTGCATGGACGCCACCTTCAAAATTTTCAGGGGGCGGGGGGCAAAATTTTTTAGAAATGATTCTGAATATTTTTTCACGGTGAATACTCAAATATATTTTTCTTTATGCAGAATTTAAAAACAAATTATCTAGAAAATAAATAATATAGAAATATTTGTTTTGTTATCATTGCCGCAATGTATCGGTATTGACATTTGATTTAATTGCAAAGAAAGCGTATACTGCTTTTGTTTTTACAGTATGGAAGCGTCCCGGTCCGAGTAAAGAATGGGATAATGAGATAGATATACGCCGCAACATATTGGCTGTGGTAATAAAATTTAATCTACACTCCTCTCTTCGAGGCTTACTGAGACTATTTCCCTCACATTATAAGAACCAATGAAATAGCAAGATTTTGAAAATTTGGACCAATAAGAACAAACTTTTAGCGAAAATTGCATTCCAAGTGAAAATTTTACATAAAATTACAGCGAAAATTGCACTGGGCTTGACAGCTTAAAAAGTCAGTTGAATCAATATAAAAATCGAAGATTTTTTGTTTCTTTTTTATTTTCCTGTTAAGATAGCGGGCTTATAGACGTAAAAGACATATAATTAATTACCTACTTTTTAAATATTTTGTGTTTCTATAAAAAATAATTTAATAAATCCGTTTAAAAATTGTGACATGGGAATAAAAGTACAACCAGCCGTGATTGTAATAATTTGAATTGTTAATTCAGTTAATGACAAAAAATATTTCTTGTTCTATGTTTTGTTCTTGAAATATATTTCATGCATTAAAAATAATCTGAAAATTCAGCATTCAAAGCGTGTTGCTTTTAAGAAACCGCATTCGTTCATTTTGATGTGATTTGACTGAAAAAGTAACCTCGACTGCGTCTCGGGCACTTATTGTCAAATCACATCAAAATGAACAAGCAGTTTTTAGGCAACACGTTTTCATGCGTTGATTTTCCATAATGTTTAATGCACTTAATATATTACTACAGATAATCACAACGCTGCTATGCAAAAATTTGTGAGCGCTTCCCATTAGATTGACCATTATCTATCTGATTATTCCATCCTTAACGCGCACAATTTGCTTCCAAACTGTATAAGAAAGCGACACTTGTATAGTGTATCCAATAGACATAAGATAATAATTGTTTAATACCTACCATTTGTACGCACCGGTGTATTATTTTATCGGTGCCCAGAGGTGTCGGTGTTTTTATATTTAATAATAAGAATTCTCATATCTATTGTGCCTATTTTGTTTTGTTTGTTTTGACGAACGAGAGGCTTAGGACTTTTACGGTGTTCCATGAGTCAAAAAAGACTATCAATCTCAGCCATTTCATTCATATGAAATTATGAAATTATGGGCTGAGTGGCTCAGTGCATACTTATACGCTAGGCTTGAGACCTAGGGATCCCCGGTTCGAATCCTGGCTAGGGCATGAATGTATAGTGGTTTTTTAAAATACTAAGACGATGGCACAGTTGGTTAGAACGTTGTTGTATGGCAGAACACGACTAGTCACTGTCTATCGCTTCTGAGTTCCAGTTATAGCTGCGTTATCTAGCAAATATCGGAGGGATTGGTTGTTGCGTGTGTGTCTGTCATGGTTCCTGGTTGAGTAGTGGAATAACAATGTGCTAAACTCCACCAGGACGTTAATATAAATAAGACATTTAAAATAAAAAGCAAAAATAAAAAAAATCAATTTGAGCAATGTTATTTAAAAATGTTCTGAAATCAAAGCGCGAAAAGTGCTTTTTTAATAAACTGTAAAGTTAAAATAATGTGCGATTACTACAGTTTTAATAAGTTATTGTATTTTTGGAAAACTTAAAAACTAACTAAATTTTAAAAAATGTCTGTTTTTGTCAGTTTTACTATTTATGAATATGAATTTTAATTATGACAACATTAAATAGTGTGATAAATATACCTTTCATATCCCGATATAAAAGGTATATTTAGCGGGGCGGCAAAGGTAAATCGGCAAGCACCCTAGCGGCGGCCCTGAATATACGGTCTTGTCCAAAATATACGAGGTGCTGTTCTGCCACCTTTTTTCATAGCTGGCGGCAATTTTTGATAAAAATCAAAGGTTCCGAATTGTTACTTAAATAAAAAAAAATATTGTAGTTTATATGACTGAAAAATTGCAATAAAATTTATTTTTTAATATTAATTTAGCAAATTTTTAAAAATTATTTAGCATTCTAATTGATTGGTTTTCATTATAGAACCTACCTATCCAAACACTAATAAAAAATATTCATCATACCAATTCGCGAATGCATTGTTTTGTAGTGTTGTAAAGGTTTTACAGGTACTTAGACTTAGAGAAAACATTTAAAAGCTGCTGATGTAATTTTCTCCAAGACATCCGAGTATGTAGAGAAAAACACAATTAACCAAACCTAGACGATTTATTTGAATTTCGCATAGTGCTAATGCTCTATATAGGAATATTTACTAATTACAGCGTGTCCTTAAAGTAACGATTTCGACAATATTCAGTATCAAAAAACGTTTCCAAAAAATGCTCAAACACATCAAATAGTGTTTTTTAAATGACATTTTTTGAGACGTCTTGATTTTGTTTGTAACTTATTGTTAGACAAAAAGTGCCACACTTTTTATCAGCTTCTTGTTTGTTTTATTTTTACTAATAAAGGTATAATAACATTTTTAAAAAGTTTTACTAATTTTTTTTTACTGTTTTTTTTCTAATAAAGGTAATTAAAATTATAATACCAAGGGCATGGTAGCCGAGTGGGTAAAGCGCTATTTACTCATATTTTAACAATTTTTATTATAATGCCTCAATTAAGTTGTATCTCATGTAAATAATGGTCAATAAATGTTTTAAATTGGAAATTGGAATTGGTACCGAATATCGGTGGTTCGAATCCATACCGGAGCAAGAAATTTTATTTGTAATTTGCCTCGGATTAAGATGGGTGTTATCTAAGCAACCCACTCTGTACTACCAGCGACGAACACCACCGAGGACACCCGATGAACAAACCCCTTGTTCACAAAACCTCGAGAGCTGCGCTGCCACAGGCATTCTGACGTGACGATTCAACTTATCAACTTGTAATATTAATATATGATATTTGTTAATAAATAATTTTAACTATCAATTCAAATCATTCTTGTGTTAAGTAAAATAAATATTTTTTAAAAAGGCTTCGTTAACGGCCACGAAGTTAACTGGCGCAATCGTACGGATCGGTGAAAGATTTTGCATCGTGCGAAAATCTTTTCGTGTCTACGATTAATCACCGAAATCTTGGGTGAACTGAGTAACCCAAGAGGAAGAATCAACGAGAGCAACGGTAAGAAAATATCCAAGAAAAAGAAAAGGACTTCCAGACGAGTTCTAAGAGAAATTATAGTAGGATACGGCAATCACAGAGCTGATTGGTCTGCTATAATCGCTGAATCTTTGCTCGTGAAGACCAAGACTATGAAAACCATCATATTAATGTAAGTAAAAGTTATTTGTTCATGTCAGAATCCTCAACTTCCATTGAATCCTTTAGTGATAGTAAGGAGAAGGGCGAGTTAAATTTAAGAGAATTAGCTGCTAGTATTTTAGTAATTGAAAATAATTTATGTAATAATTCAGATACGAACGCATCGAGCGAAAGTACTGAAAATAACAATTTTAAGTTCTGTAATATTAACCTTTACAATAATTCAAGTAAAAATAATTTCTTCATAAAAGATAATTATACTGGTAAAAGTAAAACAGATAACTGTTCTGCAGAAGAACCAAACTATAGTATTTATAATAATTCTATTTCAGGAAAAAAAAATAGTTGCATAATGCCTCCAACTCCACCAAGTTTTGATTTAAAAAACTTAAATATAATCTCGCCATTCGATGGTAACCCTTGGGAATTATATAACTTTATAAAAATATCACAAACTTTCTTAACTATTTATTATAATGAAACAGACCCAGGGTGTATGCAAAATTTGTTACTATTTGAGGGCATTAAAAGTAGATTAATAGGTAGGGCACGTGAAGTCATTTCAATTTACGGGGCTACTACATGGGACGACGTAAAGTCCATATTAACTCAAAATTTTGGCGATCAGCGCGATGAAAATAGTTTAAATAGAGATTTAGTTAATTTAAGACAATCAGGCGAAAGTCCGCAACAATTCTATGAAAAAGTAATGTCTCCCTTAAATATTATTTGCAATTATATTGAAATTCACACTATTGATAATCATATAAAAATTAGTAAGAAAAATTTCTTCACACAACAAGCTCTTGTAACATTTTTAGGTGGTTTAAAAGAACCATTAGGCAGTACAATTAGGGCTATGCGGCCCAACAGTTTGGCAACCGCTATGCAATATATTGTAGAGGAAAATAATATCAGATATTTACAGAGATCACATATTTCTAATAATAACCAAACGATAATAAAAAAACCCATAATTCAACAAAGGCCCCAGCCTCAAAATTATTTTGTTTCAAATCCTTTTAATACCACGCCGCGGTTCGCGCAACCAAATTTCCAATCGCAACATAATAATTTCCAAGCTCCGAAATTCCCCACCGGGCCTATAAACGTGCAACAAAGAACAAACTACCCACAACACAGGTTCTCCACGAATCAACAAACTTTTGGAAGACCACAAAATGTATGGAAACCAGGACAAACTAGCCAACATCAAGCGAAAAGCAGGCCCATGAGTATTTCAACGAGAAATACGTTTAGAAGACCAACAAATCAATTTACAGGAGATTTACATACACAAGCTGGCCCATCTAGTAGGCCGAATTTCACATCAGAAGAATTATTCAATATTGAACACGAAAACACTCAAGAAATGCGGCATTACGCCGAACACGAATATCAAGACTACGTAGAATATGATGGAAATCAAGAATATCAAGAAGACGAAAGTGAAAATTTTCCAGTGGCCCCAGACCCGAATCTCGAAACTTAATCGAACTTAATATTTTATCCGATAAAAAAGAGCTACCCTATTTAGAAATAAAAAATCCCCCTCTAAAATTATTGATCGACACAGGCGCGACAAAATCTTTTATTAATTCCGTTATTGCCGAAAATTACTACTCAAATTGCATTTTTGAGGAACCCTTTTATAGTTTGGACAATTTTTTCGCAAAGCAAACAAACACACTGTATGCTTATTCCTAGCTTTAAAGAATTTGACAGATCAAAATTTAAAATTTCATTTGTTTAAATTTCATAACATTTTTGATGGCCTAATCGGCTTAGATATTATAAAACATTTACACGTTCAGTTAGATTTTATAAATTCAAAGTTTAAAATGCCTCATAAACATCTAGAAATAAAATATTATTTATAAGATATAAATGCAACTTTTCATGCTAATATAAAATCTCATACGGGTCAAAGACTGAATATTCCAGTTACAATAGATAACGGTCACGTAATTGTGCCTCATCAAGAAATTCAAAACCTGGAAATAAAAGAAACACTATCTGTAGCTCGCAACGGATATGCTTGGGTCGAAATATTAAACAAACAAGAAGGTGATGTCAGCATATGTCTGGACGCACCATTAAAGGTTAAACCTATCGATTTAAATAAATATGAAATTTTTCATATCGACTTTAAATCTAATCAATTCAATACTGAATATAACAATACTAACGAAATTAATAACTTAATTAGAACTGACCATTTAAATTCCGAGGAGAAAAATTGTATCAAGAAATTATGCCGTAAATACTCTGACATATTTAAGTACGAAAACGAATCCTTAACTTTTACAAATCAAATTAAACACAATATTAAAACAACGGATGAAATTCCGGTTTACACCAAAAGTTATAGGTATCCTTTTATTCACAAACCGGAGGTAGAGAAGCAAATTAATTCTATGCTCAAGCAAGGTATAATAAGACATAGTAATTCGCCGTGGTCATCGCCAATTTGAATCGTTCCAAAAAAGGCGGACGCTTCGGGTAAAAAGAAATGGAGAATTGCCGTCGATTATCGGAAGGTAAATGAAAAAACTGTCGACGATAGGTACCCCATTCCCAATATATCCGATATACTCGATAAAATCGGTAAATGTCAATATTTCACCACTCTGGACCTTGCCAGTGGCTTTCATCAAATAGAAATGGCACCCGAGGACATCCAAAAAACAGCGTTCAACGTAGAAAATGGCCACTACGAGTACGTTAGAATGCCGTTCGGGCTAAAAAAACGCGCCAGCGACTTTTCAACGCGCGATGGACAATATTCTTAAAGGTTTACAAAATAACATATGTCTTGTGTACATGGACGACATCGTAATTTTTTCTGTTTCTCTTCAAGAGCATATTAATAATTTATCGAAAGTATTCCAACGCTTACGGGAAACTAATTTCAAAATTCAATTAGATAAATCTGAATTTCTCAAAAAAGGAAATAGCTTTT